TCGATTGTTCTCCTTTGAGATGCTTCATACTGCAAATGTTTCACGAATAATGAACAGGATTGTAGACGGTTTAAAAAAACTAAGTATGAAGTGATAAATAGTATTTGGTGTATTCCAATGGTGTTGGGTTGCCCTTTCCCGCTGATTTTGGGCTTCAATCCATAGTTGGCGAGATAATACACGTCGCCTTCTTTAAAGACATGTCAGAATAGGCTTAACTGTTTGTAACGTATCAACCCACTTATTTGTGCGCCCTACAATATGAAGTTGTAAAAAGTAAATTAATTAAACTCGTAATAGTGTAATTTATACATATAGGATCGACAAAATTACCTCTTGATCTTAAAAAATGATAGCACATAAGTTCCTTGTCTCCAAATCGTAATCGGTATCAACAATTAAAACTGCTTTTAATTCCAAAAAAGGCCTGTTCACCCTTGTAACCGCGTGGAGCCTATCAAAAACTGGTCGCATTTTTTTTTTAAAATTATTAAGCAAGGTTGTCTCTGTGTTTTGCAGGATGATTTGGGAGGAGAAGTGAAGAAGCAAATGTGAAAAACGGATGATTGCTTTTATATAGGATTTTTGAAATGTATTTGTTATCCTTTTTTTTTCCTGATTTTATGAGATCTTTTTTGTATTTGTTATCATTTTTTTTATCCGGAATTTGTGAGATTTTGTTTTGTACCAAATCTCATAACATCACATTAAAAAAACAAAAATAAAAAAAATTGAAAATCGGCAGGAAAAAAAAAAGGAATCCGAACTAAACAAAAGGTAAAAAATAACAGCCTAAATATAAGGCCTAAGAATCGGCAGAAAATAAAAGGAATTGTAAACAATTTCAAATCAAAGTTCCATAAATAAATTAAAAAAACGAAAATTGCATTTAGGCGGGAAAAACAAAAAAAATGAACTAAAAACATAGAATTTCGAATTTTTTTGGAGGGAAAATAACTTACCAAAATTTTAATTTATCTTAACTCTATTTTATAATAGTAGATTATTCTCTCCAAAGGCTCAGCACTCAATTTGTCCTCTCCAATAAATAATATTGTTGCCGTGTGTGTTTGATTTCTTTGGGCCATAAAAAAATGCATATATTTGGGCCGACCTCGGGCTGGTATGAGGGACTGCGAGGTCAGTACGGAACACACCCGTACTGCTTCGGATGAAATTTCTTCCAATGTCACGTCGCCACCGAAAACACTTCAATATCCTAAAAATAAGCCATAAAAATATCAAAGTACAAGAATCCATCTAACAAATAAATAAGTCGAAAGACATATAAGTGCGACAAAATTAAGCATATAAAAATACGCTAATAAATATATAATATACACACTTTTTCCGACCAATCAAATCTCCCCAAACTTAAACCGTTGCTTGTCCCCAAGCAACTTAGAACTAAAAGCACATAGATGGATAAGAAAACAAGTACGTGGAATATTACTCAGGTCCTCACAATTCTCACATAAGTGCATAGTTCAAACAACTCAAATTAACTTATCCGGACTCAAGACGAAATCATTTTAAGAACTCAAACAATCAAGTATCAATTCAAGTGACCACCATGGTTTGTCAATCTCTATAACGAATGCACCGATCAATGCAACTCATGACACCCCTCTCTTTGCTAACAAGTCCAGTTTCTTTCTGTTTCTAGCCAAAGTCCAAATGTCTCA